GGTCTTAGAAATGGAAGAAATTACATATTACAAAACAGGTCTTAGAGATGGAAGAAATTATATATTACAGAACATGTCTTAATGATGGAAGAAATTACATATTACAAAACAGGTCTTAGAGATGGAAGAAATTATATATTACAAAACAGGTCTTAGGAATGGAAGAAATTACATATTACAAAACAGGTCTTAGAGATGGAAGAAATTATATATTACAGAACAGGTCTTAATGATGGAAGAAATTATATATTACAGAATAAGTCTTGGAGAAGTAAAAATCGTAAGAAAAAATGCCAAGGGGAAATGAAGTTAAGAACTGGTTTTAAATAAAAGCAGAAATTAAAAATTGAATTTATTTAAATATCAAGTATGCATTAAAGAGATGATTTTAAAACTTTCCATTGAATGCTAAATTTAAGTGCAAAATTTCTAGATCCTAAAAATGGCTTTTTAGACATAGCTTGCCTTACAATAAAAATATTTGATGGTATTCAGTGGAGAAACCATTGATGTAGTGATGTCTCTATTTATCACCACTAAAAGGTACTGTATATGTTTTCCTCTTGGTTCACATTAGTTTCCTCTGGAAGGAAAATGAAAGGATGGATGATAATCTTGTATAGTTATACATATATCAGTGCAATAAAGTATTATAAATTAATGTATAACACCAATACTTTAAGCTTGTACATGGAATGAAAGGTTTCAAGCTCCTTGTATCATTTGTCTGTTGTTGTGATCCATCAAGTGATTAGTGTACAACAGTAACAATTATATACTTGGGGCAGCCTCACAGGAAGTGGTAAGGACTTTGAACACTAACCCATCCTTGCAATATCTTCTCAACTATAAATTTTAGGCTATTTTACATCAACCTACTCTGCGACCTTTCTTCTTAATTGTAAATGTAAGGACATTAAACACCAACCTACCCCACAACCTCTCCTCTTAACTGTAAATGTGAGGACATTGTACACCAACCTACCCCCGCGACCTCTCCTCTTAACTGTAAATGTGAGGACATTGTACACCAACCTACACCAGTGACCTCTCCTCTTAACTGTAAATGTGAGGACATTGTACACCAACCTACACCAGTGACCTCTCCTCTTAACTGTAAATGTGAGGACATTGTACACCAACCTACACCAGTGACCTCTCCTCTTAACTGTAAATGCGAGGACATTGTACATCAACCTACCCCCACGACCTCTCCTCTTAACTGTAAATGCGAGGACATTGTATGCTAAACTATGCATGCTAATTCTATCTAATTGTAACCTATTCCTACAACTGCTTCCCATGCCTGCAAACTTTCTACAACTATAAATGTGTAAGAAGACAGGACAAGGCACTTATAATGTGTAGAAGATCTTGGATTAATTTATGCTTCAGTGCATAGGTCCAGTCTCCAAAGACAGTCATCTTTGCCACCTTGTAGAAAGCAAGCTTTTATTTACACAATGAGAGTATTTAAATCTAATGGTCATAATTGCTTAGCCCTTCAAGTATTTAAGAAGCAAATTAAAGGCAAACCTTTGGGAGTATCGCTTGACTTGGGGGTTGGCCCACTTATCCATTTGTCAAAGGAAATTATATGCGTCATTGACACTGATGAAATTTTAATTAGTATGCTGTGTCTCCGTTGGATACATTCACCTCGGGCAGCCCCTGATAGATAGTCCTCCTTTTGCCTTTAGTCACTCCGTCCTGTCTCCCAAGTAACATTCTATACACAATGGCATTTTTTTTGTGAGGGGCGTGTCTGAAGATGGCACATGCATTTCTGGTGCTATCATACATAATCTGATAGCCTGATGACACAGTACTTTTTGTTTTCATGTTTGTACATTTATATTATGATTATTATGTAAACATTTTTCCAATGTGCTACTTATTCTTGACAACAAAAATTGTCTGAAGTTTTCTTATGATTTCAATTGTTATATTTTCAATCTTGATTTTATTTCAGTACCATTTTTTTTTTTTTTTTTGTTTGTTTTCTTATACCCTTTGGTAATACATGTTTTTTTTCTATATTTTCCAGTAATTATTTTAATGGAAAAAAACAGAGTAAAGACATTTCTAAATTTAAGTGTATTAAAAATCAAATGTTTAAAAGATTAAAGGAAAGAAATCATGATTTTTTTGGAAAATGTGAAATCATATTGTTACATAATGAAATACATTTCAGCATTAACCTAGCAGGAAAATGTAAAGAAATTAAAATGGGAGAGACTTTCATGAGAAAGAAGGAAAACTTGCTGACAATTGTTTAGTATTCACTGAATTGTTTCAGGGTGAATTAAAGATAGGAAAAATAATAAGGTTTCTTTTTTCACAAGACATATCAGATGTAATACTTATAGTTACCCTAATCTTGTGTCAACATTTCTAACATCAAACCCAATATATTTCACTCCTATTCAACCATTTATTGACTTTCAACAGCGATGTAAATGTCACCATTGAATTATTGAAACATGTGGAAAAGAATAGTTTAGCTTTGTATGCGTGAAGTCAATTGTACTTCCCGAAGGCTACCATAAATTGTTACCAGTGGAGTTGAACTAGCTGAACTATGCAAGTGAAATAAATTTCGTACTGTCTCATAAAAATTTCAACTTAAAAAAAAAATGAACATTAGGTTATGTTAGTTGATAAGTTAATCTAATTTTGTGTGTAAACTCATCAGAAAGCACACATTTGGTGATAATTTTATCAGGAAAGGTGGAACTACAAATTAAATCTTGATTGAATTATACATGAATGGGAGGAATACTCCCATGCACTTTTCAAGTCGCGATCTCTCTGATTTCTTTCCTCTTTTGTGAGTCGGGGTCATAGAGAGGATTACAGTGGACAGAAGGAGACTCTCGTTTATAATACAGGCTACTCCACCTTCTCACTAGGGGGTGCGGCAGATATGTTTTATGATGACTTGGCTCCGCATTATCAATGATTATTGTACAAATGGAATTTGAAAATTAAAGAGACGGTGTAGATTTAGGAGAGACAGTATTTTATATATGGTCCTTCAAACAATGGCAAAATAAAGATCAATTAGAAAATAGTCTTAATTGGCAACAGATTTTCAGATCAGTAAAACAAGTTCTTTTGACGTTTCAACTCCTCATCATCTTCATGTCTGTAATAAATCTAAACACGTTCATGGATCGAACATTTCATGGGGTGTACATTACAGCTATGAGAATTAGACCTGTTCTAATGATTTAAACCAAATACAAAACAGTTGCAAAGAAGTCAATGGGGTGCATGCAAATAATGAAAAATTACAAAAATAGACATTTCTCATGAAAATCAATTTTGATTTTGTTGAAGATTTTCTATTTACCGAGAAAAGAATGGTTAATGGTATTTTATCAATTAAAATGATAATTGGTTTTAATTGTCTGTACTCAGGATTTGTCATTTAAATAATGCTGCAATGCAAACTTGTTCATTCAGGTATTTTTTGCTCTCTTTTTTTTTCCCCTGAAAATAGTTAATTGCTAATTTCAAAATGTGATTTTTTTTTTTTTTTGTACAAATAGAACTGGCCTTTTTATCCAATTTCATGTTGTGCATTGATGACAGATGTGATATAACTCTGGTTGGTGTAAGATAATATTGAGGATGTGGGCTATTTTGTATGCAGTTGGATATACAAATAGACAGAGAAAAGCTGGTAGGCCAATACATCAGGCATTTACTGTTCATGGTGGTCAGTCTACTCAGGCTGATTGAATGAAGTATGACACAGCAGTGGTCAGATAATTTGGTAAAATGTCCATCTTTGGGCGTGTGCCGAGGGAGGTTTGTGGTCAGTCTGGCACCAGCTGTATATGGTGAGAAATTCGCCACTAAGTCTCGCGGATGTCCAGCATGATTCATTGCTCTGACCAGTAGAAATGGCTACAAATCATGGGCAGCAGCCAATACGTGTGTGAGGTAGTTTTGTAGAAACAGTAGGCGCTGACACTTGACATGAAAAACAAGACGTTCTGTTGTTGTAAATAGTTGTAACACTTGTATCATCTCATCAAATTGAATGGGGTTTAAACTTTTAACAAACACTATGCTAAACCTGTTTAATGATCCTTAATTAGGTCGAGTGTTGACATGATGGCGTGTGCCGTGGAGACCCTATAGGAGGCTCATTCACAGCCCCTGAAAGGGAGCTCCACACTGACACTGGTGTTCCATATACAACACACACTGGTAACAACACCTAGGCTATCATTACACAACGTACGTCCAGCGGTGAGGCGCACGGCCACCACCAGTAATTGTAGCAAATTAACTCTCTACAAACCCTAAACATATTGGGAGGCAAATCTCTGTTGTGTTTTCCCTTTAAATCTGAACATTCATTCCAGGATCAAACTCCAGGTTTTTATAGAACTTGTAATGTTGGCTGTATTATCAGAATCCGATCAGCTATTTTGTAACTATGCTTACAGATAAATGATGACAAATTTGGGATTCTATTTTAAGTTTAAAATGACAAAGGAAAAGTAGTGGTTGATCTACTGATTGAAGTCCTGGCACGCGGCCACACGCGTAGGAGTTTTAAAAAAAGTGACAGTGACGCTAGATATATTCTCCACTAGCTAAATTACCATTGTCACTCAATTAGACCAGATTTCATACAGATTTTAAAAGCAGCATGCTATCTGATCTGAATGTCATGATTTACTGACTGAGATGGGATTTCTTTTTTTTTTTTTTTTGAATGAAATCATGATTTTAAAAAATGTTGAAAAAAAATTCAGCAAAATTCTACCAAGGTTTTATGAAGGACTATGGGATATTACCAAATTAATTCTGTTGATCCGTGTTTTGGCTGGTGCATTATATGCTTATAATCAGTATTTAATGATTGAAACCCTTTTTTTTCCGTAAGAAGTTATTAATGATGTAATAAGAGAGAGCCTTCATAAATATTGGCCGTGTAGAGATCATTATCTCTTGTAACCAGATATTTTGGGTTGTTTCAGGTTTGACAAGAGCAGTTCTGACATCAGATTAAAGGTCAGTATTGAATGCATCTGTACAGTATCACTATTTCAAAGATAGATATAACTACAAATCTGTATACGTTGTATTTTCATTGTTATGGTGTTCTACATAACATTCACATGAAACATCAATGTAAGTTATTGTGATTTTGATATAGCATTAAATAGATTTCTTTCTGTTTAAATTTAGAAAAATTGAAAGAAAACTATATTCAAGATGTCCTTCAAGTGAATTTTACATCTTTAAATATTGTGGTAGTATATCAGTATTCTTTATAAATTCATGTCATTATTTGAATTCATGTCAGTCTTGAAGAACGATTTCGATAAAAAAAGAACATTTTGAAAACAAGAAAGATAAGTTAATGAATTTTATTTTATGCAATAATAACCCTAAGATTTTAATCTTTAATTTACTACACCATCAGAGTGGTCAGCCCATCCCAGAGTCCCAGCCTCCATCATCTCCAGCCTCCTCTCAGGATACAGCAGCTGAGGCACCGTCCTCCTCAACCACAACCACCACCACAGGTGCTGCGCCCTCCAGTCAGATCACAGAGGAGATCGCCAATGGTTACAGGTAAGTAGATGACCACCACAGATGCTGCAACTTTCAGTCACATCACACAAGTGATTGCTAATGGTTACAGGTAAGTAGAACACCAGAATTGGTGCCACACCTTCCAGTCACACCACACAAGTGATTGCTAACGGTTACAGGTAAGTAGAACACCAGAATTGGTGCCACACTTTCCAGTCACACCACACAAGTGATTGCGAATGGTTACAGGTAAGTAGAACACCAGAATTGGTGCCACACTTTCCAGTCACACCACACAAGTGATTGCTAATGGTTACAGGTAAGTAGAACACCAGAAGTGGCGCCACACCTTCCAGTCACATCACACAGGAGATTGTTAATGGTAACAGGTAAGTAGACCACCACAACTGGCGCCACACCTTCCACTCAGGTCACAGGAGGAGACATTAATGGTTACAGGCAGGAGAACCCTACAGAAAGTGAAACTTTAACTACCTTTTGATCTTTAAATCTGGACTATGTGTTGAAGTTTAATACTTAGTACCATGTACTTCATTGCAAGCATATCAAGAGAATCTGATTAAATTAGGGCCAGTGGATGATCAGAAGAGACATCCTTAGAAATTAAAATACAGATCAAAATATCTTAAAATACTGGATTTGGTGTTTTTCCAAAATGTGTTTTTTGATATTCAAGAGAATTGAAAAACTGGGATTGTATTCTGCAGTGACTGAAAAGTACATATCTAACAACACTTCTTAGTAATTTACTGGTATAATTAAGATTGAAGAAAGTGAGAACAAACCACTTGCTTGATGAAATTAACGTTGAGCATACAAATCATAAAAGTAGTCAACATGTCTCCAATCACATTTGCCTGTAATCAGGCGAGGATGATGATTCCTTGTATTTCCACATCAATAAAGAACAGTGTTTAGTTAGTGCACTGGATGATAGTGAATTCTGTGTTATAGCACAGGCAAACCTGATTACTACACCTGGAATAGACTGGGGTCGGACCAAATGTGTTTATTTGTCACCACAAGGTGCGACTTTCAATTTCAGGTAAAGAAGATCGCTAATTAGACAGGATAGGCAGTGATTAGTGATCAGTAATTCTGCCGTGATAATCTTCACCGTTCTGTAAGCAAATCTACATAATCGTCCATCATACATATATCTAATGACCTCCATATTGGCTGAATGACTTTACATAAGTACATCAGACCCCAAATTCTCTCCTGATTCATCGTCACCATGTGTCCTGTCAGAGTGTATTGCAGAAAGTTTTCAATAACTGTGTAAAATCAAACCCAAGCTCTACTAATAGAGTCTTTAAGAGTCATCTTTATGTTTTATAACCACTACACTGTAAACATGTTTTGAAGACGGGGTCTAATGTTTGTCCAATATTGAGTGTTGGAAAAAAATGAAAACATGAAATATTCTTTAAAAAGTTAAAATGCCCATTGGATGGTCAGCTGTCACGGTGGTAACACAACCATCTTTCACCAAGGCAGTTCTATTTTCTGATTAGAGGTGAAAACGTATGGAGTCACCTGCCTGACCTTATGATGTTTTCCCTAGTAATTAGGTGTCGTCCAGTCATGTTAAGACCCTGTGCACATGTTCGTCTGGCTTGTGAAGTTTAGATAGTTCAAGTCTTATCAGGTACATATAATTTACTGTTACAGTTAACCTTTACAAGTAGAAAGTATAATTGGTAAGTAAAGAAGATATAAAGTAGAAACAGGTCTGACACTACAAACACTGCGAGTCCTCATTAGGCTGCGTTTGTTTGTAGTTTATACAGTGACTTTTGAGTAAGGATGTTTAAAATCATGTGGAAGTAACCTCAGTATGATGCCTGTTTTATATATTTATATAAATCTGAGATTATCACACTGTATTGTTTATCAACAGAACAAGTCTACGGTATTTCCTGCCACCTCAATGGGTAATGGACAAAGACGCCATATCTACCATGTCACTGGAAGAGCTGGCCGCCTTTCCTCTTGATGACTTTTTCGACCACTATGAGAAAGGACTTAGGAAGGTAGGTTTGAAGCTTGTAGATGTATTTATAACTGGTTTGTAATGTGGTAAATGGTAATAAGCCCATGCCTGGTAATAAGCCCGTCTAAATCTAATGTAGTAACAACAGAAATGTCCACTACTTTTACAGTATAACTCATTTGTATCGAACACACTGAAACTGAATTCATTGGATGAGTCAAATGTTTTGTTCTGTCATGATATTTTCTCTTCTTTATTTTAGTAAATTAAACACATGATTGGAATACTGCATTTGCGTTGTTGAATGCATTTCATGGTCAATCACTTCTAAATTTGACCAAACTGTTGTTATTTGTGTCAAACATTCATGCATCACTTTGTTTCGGGTGAAAATATGTGAATGGATCGTATCCACACGCGTGCTGCAATGACGGGTGTTTCACGTCACATTTCAAAATCTTTTATTTAATTGTTACTTCTTCATTACTATCATGTCTTGCTGTGGGCTCATATTTGGTGAACAACTGATAAAAATAGGGTCAATCTTTGGTGCAAAATGTCTCAGTTCGTAGAAACATAGCTAAATTAAACCATCGGATAAGTCAAATATTTTGTTTGGTCCTGTCAACTTCGACTTATCCATGTTTTACTGTATATCCTTGTCTTAAAATAAGCTTACATTGTCATACTGTCTACATATTTCTGGTTTGATGCTAGTTGGGAGATCATTATTGAGGTCAGTAACTGTGATTATTATCTCAAATTTTTAAATCAATTTATTCATGTCATAATTAAAGCTTCACCCAAAACATTTTGGTAGGTTTCCCATCGAAATCCAAATACCAGTCATTATAATTTGAAAAATGGAAGTTTGTGCACTAATGACGCACAGGAGCGGCGGGCATCCATATCTTACAAACTATTTCTATTTCAGCTATTTTCTTTCATGTTTTGTTTTTACTTTCATTTGTTTTAACTATTTCTAAATCTATTTATAACAGTTGGTTGGAAATTTCCAAACGGAAGCAACACAACGAAAACAGGAATGTGAAGCATCCATGGCTAAACTTTCTGCTGTCCGCAAACTTATCGCCAAACTTCTCAAGTCTATAAATGAGGTAAGTGAAGAGATAATGTGTGAGTGTATGTCGGTATACAGCAAGGTGTGATCAAATGATAAAAACTCTAAAACATTTTTAGTCACAGTATAGTGCAAACCTTTCGTCAGTCTGAATAAAAATGAAATTAATAATGGTGAACTTTGTGGAATTTTAAGAAATAATGTTCATGAAGATAAATTTGAGTTTGAACCATCAGAGTCAACATGTATGAAAATCATGCCGAAGTGTTTAAAAACGTTACCTAGCAAGGAAAAAACTTTGTTGGTAAAGAAAATGACCTGTTTGGTATATTGGTATATATATATATTTTGATAATCAAACCAGATAAAAAATCACATGTTTGAACTAATCACCTATTCAAATTGACTGATAGTTTACCATGGATGAGTGTAATACAGAATTTAGAGTTAAGCGTTCATGTAAGTTAACCTCCTACTTCGGAGCAAATTAGTTTCTTTAACTTGTCAAGATTTGAAAAGGTTTCTGTGAAACCTTTGTTTTAGATAGCTGATTTCAGCTTTGTTCTCACATAGCTACTATGTTATCCATGTTAGAACACCTGTAGCATAAATTGTTCTGATCGAACATGTAATAACACTAGCTGAGCTGCGATTGGCTGAAGGTTCCTATTTTTTCCTGTGATTGGCTAAGGGTTTCTATTGTTTCCTGTGATTGGCTGAGGGTTCCTATTGTTTCCTGTGATTGGCTGAGGGTTCCTATTGTTTCCTGTGATTGGCTGAGGGTTCCTATGTTTTTCCTGTGATTGGCAGAGGGTTCCTATTGTTTCCTGTGATTGGCTGAGGGTTCCTATTGTTTCCTGTGATTGGCTGAGGGTTCCTATTGTTTGCTGTGATTGGCTGAGGGTTTCTATTTTTTCCTGTGATTGGCTGAGCATTCCTATTGTTTCCTGTGATTAACTGAGGGTTCCTATTGTTTCCTGTGATTGGCTGAGGGTTTCTATTGTTTCCTGTGATTGGCTGAGCATTCCTATTGTTTCCTGTGATTAACTGAGGGTTCCTATTGTTTCCTGTGATTGGCTGAGGGTTTCTTTTTTTTCCTGTGATTGGCTGAGCATTCCTATTGTTTCCTGTGGTTAACTGAGGGTTCCTATTGTTTCCTGTGATTGGCTGATGGTTCCTTTTGATTCAATTCTAATCTAATGCTTATGATATCTTGTTTATCATGAATACACCTCTATCGTTTCAATTATATTTCCAGATGAAGCTTTAAACTTTACACTTTCAAGTGCTTTTTGCATTCTCTGGCAGAGAGAAAATATATTTAAGTACTTTCATAGTGTAACACTTTGAAATTAGCACAAGAACTATTAGACACATTAACTTCTGAAAATTTGAAGTTAGCAAAACTATTAGAAATAAAGATTTAATTAATTACGTGAATGTTACAACTCATCGTTTATAAAAGAACCAATTTTGCTATTACAATTGACATGTGACAATTTTAGTCCAGAAAACTTCACTTGTTAGCTCTGATGATGTTAGCCATGTCCAAGCAATGAAACACTTCATCTTGAAAATAAAACTAAGACTAAGCTCTGTTTTAACAATATGTTAAAGTTAGCATCTAATCTGATTCGCTCCCTAGAAATTGTCTGATAGAATCGTTCTCACAATGATTTTGGCTCGAAAATGAAATTAAAAGCTACAGGCTTGGTTCTTTTCATTAGTGAACATGGCTGTATCATGGATATCAATTTGGAAAGAAATCACAGACAAAATTAAACTTTAAATCACTGACTACCATTTCGTTGAATTTAATGGACCTATATTAGCGACGTATTAGTGAAATGTTGACTAATGACTCCGCTTTACAACAGTCGGATAAAGATGTATATATAACAGTATTAAAAGAGTGCTTTATTAATGGAAATGGCTAGAGGTGTAATTGAAGTAAAATTCCCGGAGTCCGATAACCAAGACAAAGAACGTCGGAAATCAAATGAAGGACAAACCATGTATATTCTGTGGCGACAAGTTAAAAGCTCAATGGCTGTAAAAGCAAGATTTGAAGGGGCTTGAATTTGTGCTTGTGACTTTGATGTGAATTTACTTGGTTTAAAAGTAGGCTGGCACCTTTGTTACAGGCAGATGATAATTTTTGTGTAACATTTTGGATCCAGATTTCATCTCTTTACCGCCAGCTTTAATGAAAGTTGCATCAGTGAGTGGCCGCGCTCTGGCAAACACTCATTAGTAACTGTGGCCACAAATATTTAAGTCAATATTTTTGGCTTTTGATGCAGTATGTGAAGAGAAGTAGCTCATCCAGGGAAACACACAGAATGGGTCTAGACTACACAGACAGTATTTCAAGTCCACAAAACAGATTTAAATGGAAGAGATTACAAAATTTATCAAGATTTTAAAAATAAATTTGTTGATTACCAACAGAGGACATATCTTCTAATACATACATAGATTAGTATTTCTGTGATGGAACTGCTGGACTAGTTAACCAATGTGCAGGTCATATGAAAGTTTAAAGCCTATCTTTGTCTTTCTTAATGCAGAGAATGATGTACACTATGGTCTGCCATTCCTTGTACAGATATACACTGTGGTAGTATAATTACAGTAAATGATTTACAGAGTCGGGAAAAGATGCCATAAAACAAGAACTATATTTAAAGAAGGAACAAAATTTCTATCTTTTATCATCCAATTAATTGTCATAAGAAATTATTCAAAAACAGCACATCCTTGCTATGTGATATTTTGAGAGGATGTATGCATAAGAAGACATTTTCAGTTAAGTTGAAAATAAATTTGATGTAATATATCTATCTATCTAGTCTTGAAGATCTGATCATATTGTAAACATCCACCAAATTAGCTGTTCTGTCATAGAATCAAGCTTTGAAACAAGTACAATATTCAAAAGAGGACATTATTATTGGTAACATGCATAAAAGCTTGTATAGGAGGGAAGATTATTCTGGTATTTTTATTGCTTTAATGTTTGTAGAGACCAAAGCCAGCCAGTATATCCATGAGGCAGGCAAAGCATCTCCATAAATCAAAGGGGTACATCATTAATAGGGGCACCCGATAAAACGTCACAGTACATACAAAAACAATTGTGTCCAAATCAGATAGTGTGTTGTATCGTGGGTTGAGTGCCATCTCTCAAAGCAAGCCATACATCTTGTCATCAATATTCATTATGGGACGTCATGGCCGATAAGGAAATGCCCAGTATTTGCATCGATCTCGGTCTCCAGGAATTAATTGGCATACATATGGCTAAGTGTTGACAAATGTTCACACCTCTTTTTCTGCTGATAACATACCGGACGGGATGAGGAATGTCCTGGTGGAAAGTAATGGCCAGGCTGGATAAATGATGTTATACCTCATACACTGATCACACCAGTTCCCTTAGTCCCCTCTCATACACAGATCACACCAGTTCCCTTAGTCCCCTCTCATACACAGATCACACCAGTTCCCTTAGTCCCCTCTCATACACTGATCATACCAGTTCCCATAGTCCCCTCTCATACACTGATCATACCAGTTCCCTTAGTCCCATCTCATACACTGATCACACCAGTTCCCTTAGTCCCATCTCATACACTGATCATACCAGTTCCCTTAGTCCCCTCTCATACACAGATCATACCAGTTCCCTAAGTCCCCTCTCATACACTGATCATACCAGTTCCCTTAGTCCCATCTCATACACTGATCACACCAGTTCCCTTAGTCCCATCTCATACACTGATCATACCAGTTCCCTTAGTCCCCTCTCATACACAGATCATACCAGTTCGCTAAGTCCCATCCCATACACTGATCACACCAGTTCCCTTAGTCCCATCTCATACACTGATCACACCAGTTCCCTTAGTCCCCTCTCATACACTGATCACACCAGTTCCCTTAGTCCCATCTCATACACAGATCACACCAGTTCCCTTAGTCCCCTCTCATACACTGATCATACCAGTTCCCTTAGTCCCCTCTCATACACTGATCACACCAGTTCCATTAGTCCCCTCTCATACACAGATCACACCAGTTCCCTTAGTCCCATCTCACACACTGATCACACCAGTTCCCTTAGTCCCCTCTCATACACTGATCACACCAGTTCCTTCAGTCCCATCTCACACACTGATCACACCAGTTCCCTTAGTCCCATCTCATACACTGATCACACCAGTTCCCTTAGTCCCATCTCATACACTGATCATACCAGTTCCCTTAGTCCCCTCTCATACACTGATCACACCAGTTCCCTTAGTCCCATTTCATATACTGATCACACCAGTTCCCTTAGTCCCATCTCATACACTGATCACACCAGTTCCCTTAGTCCCCTCTCATACACTGATCACACCAGTTCCCTTAGTCCCATCTCATACACAGATCACACCAGTTCCCTTAGTCCCCTCTCATACACTGATCATACCAGTTCCCTTAGTCCCCTCTCATACACTGATCACACCAGTTCCATTAGTCCCCTCTCATACACAGATCACACCAGTTCCCTTAGTCCCATCTCACACACTGATCACACCAGTTCCCTAAGTCCCCTCTCATACACTGATCACACCAGTTCCTTCAGTCCCATCTCACACACTGATCACACCAGTTCCCTTAGTCCCATCTCATACACTGATCACACCAGTTCCCTTAGTCCCATCTCATACACTGATCACACCAGTTGCCTTAGTCCCCTCTCATACACTGATCACACCAGTTCCCTTAGTCCCATCTCACACACTGATCACACCAGTTGCCTTAGTCCCCTCTCATACACTGATCACACCAGTTCCCTTAGTCCAATCTTCTACACTGATCACACCAGTTCCCTTAGTCCCCTCTCATACACTGATCACACCAGTTCCCTTAGTCCCATCCCATACACTGATCATACCAGTTCCCTTAGTCCCATCCCATACACTGATCACACCAGTTCCCTTAGTCCCATCTCATACACTGATCACACCAGTTCCCTTAGTCCCATCTCATACACTGATCACACAAGTTCCCTTAGTCCCATCTCATACACTGATCACACCAGTTCCCTTAGTCCCATCTCATACACTGATCATACCAGTTTCCTTAGTCCCCTCTCATACACTGATCACACCAGTTCCCTTAGTCCCATCTCATACTGGATAAATGATGTTGTATATAAACAGAATTGCTTGTTGTCTGGGTTTTTTCTGAAGTGGTGCTTCTTTAGACTGTAAGTGATCCTTCAGTAAACAATATCCTCCCTATTATCATCATCACTATCTGTTAGACAGTTAGCTTTAAGTGTACAATGTCCTTTCTATCATCATTATCATCTCTATTTATTTGGAGTGGTGCTCCCTTAGACAATGTCCTCCCTATTATCATCAGTCTTACTGAAGTTTTGCTCCCTTAGACAGTAAGCCAGAATTAAGTGTACAATGTCCTCCCTATTATCATCAATCCTTGTGGAGTTGTGCTCCATTAGACAGTGTGACTTAAGTGTACAATGTCCTCCCTATTATCATCAATCCTTGTGGAGTTGTGCTCCATTAGACAGTGTGACTTAAGTGTACAGTGTCCTCTCTATTATCATCATTCTTTGTGGAGTTGTTTATTATCATCACTGTATAGAGTTGTGTTGCCTTAGTTAGTGAGGGGAAGTGATATAACTATCTCCTTGGTTCCTTATATATGTGTGGTGAGACTAAACAAAGAAGATCAGCAGTGTTGTCCAATTTTTTCCATGTCAGCTTCAAAATTCACTTTGATAACAGTGTAATAGTGTTATTTACATACTTGTTAGACCGTGAAAGGTTAACAGTTCATCAGAGGTAGATCAATTTATAAAACTCTGCCTCCATATAAAACATTTGATAACTTAAGTGAAATTAACTAATAGTTAGCCACAACCTGTTCAGACATTTATGGCCAAAGAAAGATAAGCTGAGAAATCAAAGATTCTCCAGAGTCATACACTGGATTTAGTCCTTGAAAGGATCTAGTTATAGTCTGTGAATAGAGTACAATAGATTCACATCCTCTTCTACTTCAGCTGTCTCAAAGACAGTGCACATATTTCTAAGTTCCTTTTTATACTGAATGGAAGGACATCTTTCTGTGTATTTTAGATTGTGTTCTGCCATGGACATCACTGTTTGTTTAGCAAAGAAATTATGTATGATGGTGAATGTTTTTTGTTTCGATCTCATGAATTTGAAGTGTTTATTCTATTTCTAGGAGATTGTATTAATATCCAACCATTAAATAGTATTGAATTCCTGTACAATAGATGAACATCCTAATATACTGGTGACTATAGAAGTCATGTCTGTTTGAGTAAGACTTTACCACTGTGTTTAGGTCTAGTGACATGATCTAGCTACTGACAATGATAATAAACCCAAACTCCGGTGAGAGGTGCAAGATTGTCCTGTTGGGGTGGCAAGATCAAACGGCCAGATTGGACAGACAGCTGTTCATTTGTGGTCGGTTGTGTGTAATCACAGCTCTATCAGTCCGGTATCACTACCACATGGACACAACACTCAGTCTTATCATGTGTCCTATTTATGGATTATCCCCCTCGTAAAACATAAACGTTGAATTGTAGATTAGAGGGGCTACATTTGTAGGGAGTTTAATATGCTTGTGTGTTAGGGCTAGGATACCCTTCTATCATGTAGCTCAATGTAGCTCAAGCTTTATCATTGACTTTTAATAGATTCTCTGAATAGCTACAACTTGGGGTGCGAATTCCTCCATCTCTGTCGCAGACAGTGGACACCATGCTGTTTGGAAGATTCAAGTCATATTTGTGAAGAGTTGCTTGCTATAAAACGAAATTTAGTATTTTTCTCAAGTTTTAAAAGTCATAAAATGGTATACAACCTCTGCCTATCGTAACATGAAAGAAATTTCATGGTGCACAAATAATTGTGAAAAAAATGAATGACTGGTTTGAGGTGATTATTTAAATTTGACTTTCTGAGGAAAATTTTTTTGTCACTGATGAGTGAAAATTATGTTTGCCACTTTGCAGAAAGTTTAGGGGGCCACCCAAACACTTAATTAATGGTTTACCTGTGCATGCCTGTAGGTAGGTGTATCAGTTCCGACCCCGTTATACCACACTGTCAAACACTGAAGTGAACCTCACTTTTATGGTTGTGCTATAATTACAAGAATGAGCCAGTGGGGATGGTAGTCAACAGGTAGATAATGAGGTGAGAACAGAAGGAGGCCAGGGGCCACATTGCCTTGATCTTATGTAATAACTCATCAGTCACACAACAACAAAAACAATACTATTTACACGATTTATTAACTTTGATATAAGTGCATTATGAAATAAACCATTTTGTAAATGTTATACACAAATTCTATAGACTCCCATCAAGTGTAATTTAAGATGGGATATTGTGTGGAAAGGTTGAGGAGGAGAGAAAATACAATAAATATAGTAAAAAACGGAGAAAAATTAAAGGAAGAAAAAAAATTGTGTGAAGGTTTCGTAATTAATCAACATTTTGAGTGTTGACACTGTGTGCATGCTGAGATTACAGTTATAGGGAGATTTATCAGAAACACTGCAACAAGAGGAAATAAACATTTGTTTTAAACTTTGATATATTGGTGCAATTTGGTAGGAATAGATGATATTTTATCGTGATGAGACATTTTATAAGTTAAAACTTCACATTAGTGATTTACATCAAATAAAGTTAACAAGTTCATGCCACAAAGGACCAATCCATGATAAGGAGATTTTAGTAATGATAAATTTTCTGACTACTGTTCTTTTTATTTTCGTACAAAATATGTTTACCATAGGTTTAAATTATATACTTGATATTTTCTTAAATGCGTAGTCTATTTCATACATCGGAACAGAATTATCAATGATTTTAATTGATTTTTTTTTCTTTTTCATTATTTCAGGAGTTTGATATAGATCCAGAAGCAGATGGGGAACAAGTAGATGAACTTTTGGCAGCATGTGTAAAGCAGGCTGTGCAATCACAGCCCTGATTCAGATTCTAGATCATACAGCAGCTTGGACCATCCAATTCCAGGTCACTCAGATGCTTAAAATGTCAAACTCAAAGTCTCATAGAGGTTTCTTGGAATGTGAATAGGGTCATTTATGGAATTGTATGAGGAAAATGTAACCTGATTGAAATTGGGTTTTAAACCACAAATTGAATCTGAATTCTCAACTTCATGAGGACCTGGATTTTGAAGATGTTTGAATAAAAGTTATGGTAGATAGGGCTGAGGGTTTGACAGTGCAAATCTGTAAAAAGACAATACAGATTTCAGAGGTAAAATCAACTGGCCTATTGACCAAAACTTTATGAATTTTATTGATTCAGATGACACTTCATTTTTCTGAATTGATAATGAAATGGGAGTTATGAGTTAGATATTTTAATGCCATTGGACTGTAAACTACAGCAGTAGTCTGCTTTGACCTGTGTGGAGCTATGTTTTTATGTCATTTAAGGCGTTTACATAGGATTTTCAGCATCATATGTACTTGTATATTTTAAACCTTATGTTCAAAGCAACATCTTCAGGTGACAAGTTGAAGTTTGACTTCAAGTTTGTTTGACTGTTAATGTTTTGCCATAATTTATTACTTTTATCATGAAGTAAATGTGAAACTATTGTCCTTGACCTATGACCTCTGAAGTTATTGGAGTACAGGTTATTGAAACTCTGTATACTTGTGTATTGACTGTACTTAACCTCTTTTACTGGACCACTGAGGCAACTGGACTTTTGTATAATAAAACACTGTGTTTTACTTGATATCCTTACTGGAATATGGAGGATTCAGAATCTGTGTACAACCAAACCTACTGATGTCACTGGACTACTATGTAGCAGATATTAGAAGGACAAAAAGGAAGAGAAATGTGTCCTTAATAGTGGCTGGATCTGCCAACGTATACTGGACTTGTTTACGGAACTTTTTTGTGGACAGTCCATTCCTCTTAGACAGGAGCTGTATTGAAGACAGCTGGTTAAATCAAAGGCTTGTGATCTTTGTAGATGTGTGGTCTTTATTGACAGGTGGTTCTTATAGAGGGGCGGTCTTTAATGACAGGTGGTCTTTACATCTTGACTGTCTTTATCAACATCCAGTTTCATTTCCTTTTTTAAAAATGTTGAAATGTTATAGATATCAAACTTTCATTGTAAATACAGAAACTTTTAAATTAAAAAATGTGGGAAATGTATAAAGGAAAATCCCAGATTGCTAATACATTTGATAAAAGCCCCATAGCCAGTCTGTTGTTCTCAATGATTGTAAATAAACTCATTTTAAAAGTTATGACAATAGAAATTCATTGTAAAAAGCCAAAGCAAGGCTTTGTCCTCAACTTCAAACATAAAACCATTTGCATGCTTTATCAAAATGATGTAAATATGACAGGAAAGTGTTTGCTCCTGAGGAAGCAGGAACTTGGACAAGACAATAGCTCTTCCAGGAAACTCCTTTTTCATATTTCCTTCATATCATACCACCATGAGATTGTACATGTGTAAATATCAATGTGTATATATCTACACTGTATACTAGATCCACCATTTATATCTATATCATACTTGTGTTTTAGCGACTCTTTTCTCAAAATATCATTGCTCTTGTATCACTGCAGTTTATTTATAGTGAAGGTCATTTATTAGAGTTGAATATATTTGTTAAAAACATCCCAGCCATGGTTGTATATTTTTAGCTCTAGTGGCTATGACCCTATTGTTTTATGGTGTATATTGAAGTAAGTCTAGCAGAATCTGAAATTTATTATGTGCATAATAATGAGACTGTGTTACTGGTGCATTTCTTGTACTGTTGATCCATTGAATGGCATACTGATGTATATCTTCTTGATTTCAACGGTCATCACATGTCATAAAGCATATTTTATTGGTGTTTCTACCTAAAATAAACAACATACAACACTACTTGTGTCAGTTAAAAAAATATAGAAAAAAATTGGGGAGATACTCCAGATTTTTCTCTTATTTAAGAAAGAAAGTCTTATCTCTGCTTGTGCCTGTATGAAGATTTGAGAAAATACAAAATTTTCCCAATTGCAAAAGTAGCATTCATTCAGGTAGGTCAAAACAGCATGTTTTCAGCTCTAGAACTGGACAAAAGCATTATACCAGACAAAAATGTATTGAAGATTTCACAGCCCTACCAATCAGATTTCTTATAACAGATCCTCAAATGACAAGATGAACTATAATGAAAATCGGATTTGTCATTTTGAGCCAAAACAAGTCTTCTCACTTTTTTGCCTTGACTGCAACAAAAGGGTGTTATTTTTGTATTGGCATTTTCATATACACCTAGTAACATCATATGGTGAAGATTCGAATCCGGGTAAATATCAAAATTTAGAATGTGTGTATATTTTTATGATGAAAAAATAGGAAATTTTGGTTGATTTTGATAATCAGCAAATCTCCTGTGTTGATTTCAGATTGACTTCAACATATAAACAGATTTTTGGGTCATTCCATCAAAAAAAATTTCAGTTTTGTTTTGTTTTGAAATAAAGTCATTAAGGGGCCATAGAGATAAGATGAAACATAATTTAGCAAAATTTGTCGTTTTTTTTCCTTCATCATTGTTTTATGCAATAAAAAGGACAAAAATAATTTTGCTTCAATACAAAACATACAAAATTAGAATTCTGTTGGCTTGGTTTTTCTGTCACCATATAGACTTCTATTTAAATTTGTCAAATGAACACTGCTTAATCGGTGTTGATAAGACCCATTTCCAAAGTCATTTCACAGAACTTTTACATCAAAGGTTATGAAATGTGGTTTTCGACATTTTTTATTTCCTGAAAATATCCATTTTCTTTTCTTCTTTTTTTAACGCAGTTGAGTAAATGGATGTGTATGTGAGGTGGACATTTTTTTTCTCGATGATGAATGTATGAAGTATTTACCAGTGGACATTTTCTTTTAATTTTCTCTCATAATATTTGCTGTATGCTTTATGTTCAAGTGTATGATTCATTTTAAATTTTCTTGCATGATGTTGGCTTAATACTTTATGTGCAAGATTGTATTTTAACTTTCTCTCACCATAATAAAGCTGGCTTAGGCAGCATGGCAAGCTTTGTTGTTTACAATGGTTGATTTTCTGTACAAACCTAGATGTTCTTGTATTGTTGTAATGTAAGAAACATGCAGTCTACTACCCAATAACATTTTCAAACCAGTACATGTTTTCTGTTTATAATGTTGATACACCTGTCGTTTTGATACCAAACCATGTGAACGCTACCAGTTCGTGGTGATAAAGATTTCCAGAATTTGAGTTTAATGGAGTTTTTCACCTTTCAATGTTTCTTTTGTTAAAACCTATTTTTAATATGTTTCTTTTGTTAAAACCTATATGTTATTCAATTAGTGCCATTTTGTTTTAGAGGAAGTTATTCTGTTCAATTCACATAGTGAGAAATGTCCATGCATAAAGGTAAAGTATTGATAGTGAATTGTACACATCAGCTTCTAATTTACGCAACTACTCCAGTCAGTTTAGGCTGTCAACTTTAAAATAGAAATGAAAATTAAGGAAGACTGTTAACAAGTTGTAGAAATCAATTTTGCCAACCTGTTGATTGCATACAATTTTTACCAACTAATATTTTATATATTTGTTGCCGTTGGTTGAAGTATCAGATGTATTTTTCAGATTTGACTTTTTATAAGGATTTCATTTTGTTATGGCAGTTATGTTAACATACTTAGAAATACAGTTGTGTTCACTGAATTGTGTGGCTAGTGTATTTTTTTATGTGTAGACATTATCATCATTTTACAGTCAGTTTTCGTTAATTCAATTTGCCATGGTTTATTGGAAAGTTGAGTCTCTATAAGTTGTACATATATTTACTAATATTCACATTTAAAGTCTTTGAAGTTTCAGTATATATGGTGCAGGTTGTCATCACCACCGAACTGTTTAGTGTTTTTATCGTTACTGTACAGGGCACGGAAGTTGATCATGTTTTTAATTGAAATGTTCAAATGACAATTGCCAATTTGGCTTTGGCTATTTATGAGGTTTTATTTCTAGCAATGCTCCAATTGTTTAACACGTGCAAGCCTTATGTCCAGTGTTTTACTATTTTGCAGCTGTAACTGTGAAAAAGTACTTGACCGTAGATATTGTGTCTTTGTAAAAATGAACAACATACAGAATGGTTTATGAACTTAGTAGAATGAAGATATGCCTACTGCAGAGAGATATTCAATATCTTTTAATTATGTATTGTTTTTTATTAACAAGAGTTAAGTCCTGAGTTCTGAATTAAGATGTTGACATCCCATTTCCACAGGATGTTTCAGACCACTTGTGCCAATATAGGAACAGATGCTGCATTTCCTCTAGATAGATATGCATGGCCATTTCAATCACATACCTTGTAGATCTGATGGTCTGAAACTATCGAGTAGATTCTTCTCAGAGGATTTAAGACAGATCTTTTCTTTTGAACTTTCAAATATTCATTGAAGCCTTTTACTGAAAAACTTTGAGATAAAAAAAAAACACATTTCTGGAATCAAATGCTTTAAAATTATTATGTAAAAACTTCTGCTATGTGAATTTGAAGTAAAATTATTCAGATGTTTTTTTCCTGAACCCTACACTTAAGTGCTGGAGATCTGTTTTATGTCATTTAAGCAAATGTGAAATTTTGTTTTATTATACATGTTTTATTTTCAATTTCTATATTTTAGAGGAAATTTTATTGAAATCATTTAAATGAAAACAATTTTATTTTAACCAATGTTACATTTTGCTTTATGAAAAGCTTACACGTTTTGTTCAATGTTTCATATCCACATCAGCAAAATTTTGACAGATGATCAAAAATGTTAATGTTGAATGGGACCTGCATTGAAGAAAAACCTATTGAAAACAGCTTCCTTGTAGAACATCTTGGACCCTAGGATGTGTTTGGCTATTAACCATCTTTAACCTTCAACTTGAAACATTACAGAAATTTTCATCTCAGAGCCACATAATTTTTAGCTCACCTGGCCTGAAGGGCTAAGTGAGGTTATGCTGTTGTGCAGCATCCGTCATCCATCCAGCGTTAACTTTTTTCTTTAAACAGCTTCTCTCAATAATCAATGGACCAAGTGTTTTGATATTTGGATGGTATGTTCCTAGGATGAAACACGACAAATTTTGTGAACAGAATAACCTTGACCTATATTCAAGGTCAAAGGGGTCAAATTTGTTAAAACCTTTAAACAACTTTCCCTCATGAACCTAAAGTCCTAGAGGCATGATATGTGGTTGGTATGTTCCTAGGATAAAATAGGACAAAGTTTGCCAAAAGAAATGACTGACTTATATTCAAGCTCACGGGGGTTTAATTTGTTGAAATATTTAAATGACTTCTCATGAACATAATTAACTGGTATGTTCCTTAGATGAAGCCTGACAAAGTTTGTGAAAAGAAGTGACCGTGACTTGTATTCAAGGTCACTGGGATCAAATTTGTTAAAACCTTTGAACGACTTGTATTTCTGAACTAAACGGCAAAGAGGCATGATAATTGGCTGGTATGTTCCTTTGATGAAGCCAGACAAAGTTTACGAAAAAATGACTCTGACTTTGAAACCTTTGGACTACTTCTCATGAACACATAGACCTAGAGGCATGATATTTGACTGGTACATACCTGAGATGAAGCCTGATTAAGTTTGTGAAAAGAATTGATGTTAAGTTATATTCAAGATCACAGGGGTCAAAATTGTTAAAACCTATAAACAACTTCTACTCATCAACTAATAGGTGTAGAGGCATGATGCTTGGCTGGTATGTATATATACAAGATGAGCCTTGCAGGCTCATGGGCCTCTTATTGTAATTGAAATGGGTCAGTTTACTCTCTTTGATCAGAAATTTAGGAAGTAATAGTAGTTTATTGTGCATGCATCTTCAGTTGTGTTGGGAAGGGGGTTATATTTATTGGTATAACGAAGTTATTTGATTTTGATGCATAAATTCCTGTTTAAGATTCTTAAACTACTAACCGTTGAGGTACATTTGTGATTTTAAGCACTTTTTACATTACTGTGTGGATGTGTGTACCATTTCCGTAGTTTATGTTGTAGCTCAGCATCAGACTGTATCATTTGCTTTAAAAGCAGCAGAGAAAGTAGCCGAACTATCTTCAGTTTTGTCATTTCGTCCTGAAATATTTTCACTAGTATGGGTACAATATTTAACAGGAATTTGTTGTGTATGCCATTAAACTGTTGGTCAATACTTTATAACAGGAACTGTTTTCTCCTATGTGTGTAATATTTAGCAAAGCCTCCATTCTCTTGTGTCGTATCGTTTGATAGATAGTCGTGTCATATTTGTGTGTGGAGTTATTACATGTGCTATATTTAGTAGAACTAAACATTGATAATCCTAATATTGTCAAAATCGTTATCATTAGTCATAGTCTTTATCATCACATTGTGTATATCATTATCATAAAACTATTCATTATCTGAAGAAATCTTCTTGTGTTTGTAACTTGTATGTCCATTAAACTCGAAGTCAGGAGGTTGTGTTGACTTTTTTCCTTTTTCAGTTACATTGGCAGAACTCAATGAAACCATCGACTCACAGAAAGGTGAGGGAGAAAGTTTTAAACTTATTTCTATAATTGATAAAGCAATGTCTGTGAGCGATAAAGCAATGTCTATGAATGATAGAATAATGTCTATGAATGATAAAATAATGTCTATGAATGATAGAATAATGTCTATGAATGATAAAATAATGTCTATGAATGATAGAATAATGTCTATGAATGATAAAATAATGTCTATGAGCGATAAAGTGTATGAATGATAAAGCAATGTCTATGAATGATAGAATAATGTCTATGAATGATAAAATAATGTCTATGAATGATAGAATAGTGTCTATGAATGATAAAATAATGTCTATGAATGATAGAATAATGTCTATGAATGATAGAATAATGTCTATGAATGATAAAATAATGTCTATGAATGATAGAATAGTGTCTATGAATGATAAAATAATGTCTATGAATGATAGAATAATGTCTATGAATGATAGAATAATGTCTATGAATGATAAAATAATGTCTATGAATGATAAAATAATGTCTATGAATGATAGAATAATGTCTATGAATGATAGAATAATGTCTATGAATGATAAAATAATGTCTATGAATGATAAAATAATGTCTATGAATGATAAAATAATGTCTATGAATGATAGAATAATGTCTATGAATGATAAAATAATATGAATGATAGAATAATGTCTATGAATGATAAAATAATGTCTATGAATGATAAAATAATGTCTATGAATGATAGAATAATGTCTATGAATGATAGAATAATGTCTATGAATGATAAAATAATGTCTATGAGCGATAAAGGGTATGAATGATAGAATAATGTCTATGAATGATAAAATAATGTCTATGAGCGATAAAGTGTATGAATGATAAAATAATGTCTATGAATGATAAAATAATGTCTATGAATGATAAAATAATGTCTGAGCGATAAAGTGTATGAATGATAAAATAATGGCTTTTAAGTGATAAAATAATGGCTACAATTATAAAAGTAATGTATAACAGTGATATAGTAATGTTTATGAATGATGCAAGTAATTTGTGTAACTGATAAAGTAATGATTATGACACGAACATACCATCCTCCCTAAACCACATGCACCAACGCCAACACTTACCTTACGAGGAGGCCGATCTTAAATGAAAACATTTTACCAGGTATAACTGATTGAACGTGTCAGCGAGAAAAGCTAGCTAGTCAGAAGGTTTTATAGAGAAAAAGGAGACCATTTTACAATTCGTTTTTACGTGAATTTGCCCAAGCATCTGAATGAGTTTACAATAAATTCACTGTAAGAGGACTCTTTAACTTGTATATGTAGCAAAAACTATGTGACATATTATAAAGATATAGTAATACGAGCACAGCTGTTAGTGGTGTCTACCGCAACCACCATATGTTAATGTCATTTATCGAAGTTTTAGTAATTAAACCTTTCAAACAAATTGCTAGAAACACGGCGTAGTTGAGAAAGATGAAATATTTAAATATTTACATTTTTATTAGCTATTCATCAGCCATGCCTTTACCTGTGGTACCGTATGTAAAATATATACGGCGAAAGTTTAGAAATACCGGACAGAGAAGATTTTTATACATAGATTTTGGCTAAAACAGAATAGCGTCCAGTTATAGAATTCTAAGGTTGACAGTTTTTGGGTCCATATAAATGCTTATGATTCTTTTTTCATTAAAAAGGGAAAATACCGAAAGTTCAACAAAATTGTTATTCGCGATCGATAGAATAAAAGTTGTGAAAAATATATTGATTTGGTTGAAACAAAACAAGGATAATATGCAGGAAGTTAACAATTTATCGTCGCATCTTCAATGTGAAGCAAGGTTAGCGAGAGGGACTATATTAACGTTGTGAAGGGATTTAGTATTTAATAGCAATTAGAAAGGAATGCCTATGTTTTTCTAGCCCAAAATCGATGACGGAAGGAAAGATTTAGAGAAATACCTATAAGATAGTTTAAGAATTCGGCGAAGTGTTGCAGCAGGGTAAAATGTAAAACGAAGGATTAGAACGGTCTGGGAATGTGTCGTAGTATTTTAATGCTTAGCAAAACAATACAGACCGCTAAAAAACCAACAAATCTTGATTTTTTGTTTTCCAGTATTAGTTAACACTCGACTATCTTTCAAGTAATATTTCTGTGTGAAAAACGTGTTATATAAAAAATTATGTTTAAGGCTTATGATGACACACCTCATCCACAAAATGGGCTGAACATTTATTTACACAGTTATATACCTACAAACCAGACGAAATTGTTTCATAGTGTGCCCATGTTTCTCTTCTTATTACAAGGAGTTTTTACTATGTTCCTGAAATATGCAGTGACACTTTTAAATATTGAGTATTTTAGAAGATATCATTAACACAGGTAATAAAGGCATAAAATGATTCAGTTTTACTTTCAGGTATCTTGATGATGTCTGATTGGTGGGGGGAGGGAGAATGGTATAGAGCATAACATCATATATACCGAACAGATCAAGGAAACGACAGGTACTTCTAAATCACCTGCTTACTTCGATCTTTTTCAATAAGGAGACTGTCGGATACAAATTTCCACCAAGCTGAATGTCCCTTTTCTAGATGGTAACGGCTGCCTTTCCAACGATTTGATATTCGAGGTTTGTTTCAGTATCCTGCTTTTGATGCTGACATAAATAACAACGCAGGGTTTCGAGAGATACATGTTGATGTAGATAGTGGGAGATTTTATGATCGCATCAATAAATCTTTATCTCAATGGGATATGATCGATTTCCTTATTTGATATAAATATAAAGGGAACACCAACATGTCAAAAGGTATTCCATGTTTATCAGCATTTCTGGAGATTAGCCGTGATCTCATTTCAAAATGTGACATTACTTGCTTGTAAAACAGGCGTGGCGCAAGTCGACAAAGAAACTAAAGATTCCCTATCTTGTAAGAATTAGAAAGGACAATACGTAAACAGAGATGTGTCTACCGATGAATTAATTTTAGCAAAATTTAAAATACCGGTATTCATTTGTCACTTGAAAATATTTTGTTTCCTCTTTCATCAAGAAATTTTACATAATAGGAAGTACCATATTTTTCATTACTTTAAGGCCATTGAAATTCCATGTAAAATGAAAACGTTTTACATTAGAGGTGAGCGTCACAGATCAAAGATAAGCCGTTTACTTGATATGCCTTCATCACGTCAAATTACCAATGATTAAACCTATTACTATAACTCAGGGGTTGTTAGCGAGCAGTTGGTGACTACAGCCCCTCGCGGTTTCAACAAGGAGGAACCCTACGCTTGCTTTGTACATCCACCAACAAAAATGACAGTGTGATGACTTTTAAAGTATGTTTCCCACGTTAAGATATTGAGGTAAGGTAATATAGATTTTCCCTGTCCACATTTTTTTCCTACGAATTTGATATACATTTGCTTTTGAGTGATGATGTTTTTTCTATGAATTCAGTTAAGAAAAAAGAAAATCACAAAAAATACAAAAACAAAAAATTCAACCAAATCACTGTTGTCGAATGTGGACGTACAAAATGTTCATAAAACTCATAAAAAAGATATTTTCATATTTAATGCCAATTTATTCGGCTTAAAAGTTGATACATGGTCCTGCTTGTGTGCTTGTGCACATTTTACTAATTTAAAAATATAAGTCCAAAACGGCAAGGGAGCAATTTTAAAAATGTAATAGGCACTTAGTAATATGTTTAAACAACAGAAAAAACAAATTGTTGCAACAAAATCTAACCAAAGCCCTATAAATTGAGGCGACATGATCATCCGAATTTACATCGACAAATTAGGATTATGCATTTCGGTTTTTTCCCCGTGATGAAAATGTACTTTTTATCAAAGTTAGGTTATTCCTTTGATCGGATGGTACATGAATAAGTGATTGCATAACTGTTATTATCACTGAAGGGCCACGACTTTATCCTCACCATAAACTGCGGGTGCGAGGCTATGAATAGTGAATGGAATGGCCAGGTCATTCAAGTCAACAGCAGGTACTGGCGAACTTCTCATGCTTTTATATTTTTATATAGAAAAGTGACACTGTATCGGGGTTACAACTCTTGCTTCTCTTTTTCCCTTAAAACGCATATTTAAAACATTGATTTTATCCTAAAAGGCTCTACTGAAGACTCTTGAGTGGTTACCCTGAAACTTCGAAAATCAGCACACTAGGAAAATCTGCGATCAGACCAAAGTGTTTGTGAGTCAAAACGTTGTTTGAAGAGATTTAATTCTTAATTAAATGTGATGGATATTCATATCTTTTTTATTAATCTTATACATTGTTATGTTTTACGTTCATTAAAAGATGCAATTCACTTGCGTGTCTTTGGTACAATCCTTCTGAAGTATTGAGGATTTAAAGGACACACACTAGTACAGTAAAATATTGTTCGTCCTTGGACCGTTTACATACTGTTTATGATAGAAGACATACTACCAATATTCACTTCCTGCTATGTTTAAAGTAGTAATCTTTATTCTGTGCTGTTTTTCCAGTTTTTAATAAAATCATGATATTCGTGTTATAGTGTATTTGTTTTACACTTGTTTACAACGATTAGATATACACTTGTTTACAAAGATTAGATATACACTTGTTTACAACGATTAAATACACTTGTTAACAACGATTAGATATACACTTGTTTACAACGATTAAATACACTTGTTTACAAAGATTAGATACACTCTTGTTAACAACGATTAAATATACTCTTGTTAACAACGATTAAATATACTCTTGTTAACAACGATTAAATATACTCTTGTTAACAACGATAAAATGCACTCTTGTTAACAACGATAAAATACACTTTTGTTAACAACGATCAAATGCACTCTTGTTAACAACGATCAAATGCACTCTTGTTAACAACGATTAAATATACTCTTGTTAACAACGATAAAATGCACTCTTGTTAACAACGATAAAATACACTTTTG